AAATCTGCTGACTTTGACAATCTTTATGTGTTGACAATCTTTTAGGTTTTTTGCAATAATTGTGCTAGTGGTTTTATTCATTTTTGTCTTACGTAATAGTTTTATGACGTAAATTAATTCAATTAAAAACATAAGGAACTAATATAATTATATAAAAAATATAAAATAAAAAATTTAGTATATTTATTTAACTTATGGATTGAAATATAAAAAAAATTGTTGAAATACCCTTTATGTCTCTGGCTAACTGTGTATTACTGATTTGTTGACTGATAATTGTTTAATTAGAACTTTAATACAGTGGGTGAAATAAAACAAAAGTAAATGTAAATGACACTGTTCGATATTGATAGCATAGTCCAGCCGTCTTCAAACTTTTAAGACCTGCGAAATCCCACCAACGGGACCTAAAAAAAAATGTCTAATACATTTTTCTGACAGCACAAACGATGATTAAGGTTAAAACGTTTAAGCTGAAACCACATTACTCGTACCAATTCATGCGTAGACGCGTATTCTGTTGCACCAATAGAAAAGCCCACCTGCCCACTAACCGTCTTTCTAGTGGTTAATCGGACTAATGCCGACGCAGGCTTTGATTGATGAGTAAGGAGCTTCACTTGGATATTTAATTGTGGATCCTGTTAACGCGACGTATTTACGAACATGCGCATTGTGCACCGGACATTTAAACTGGCCCTTTAAATGGGAAGTGCACGTCATCTCTCTTTAATTTTCGCTTCTTTGTCTTACTGACACATCTGTATCTAATCTGTGGTATAACGTTGAATATTTATGTGATAGGAACACATAAACTTGTAACACATGTCCCAATCGTTGGGCGCGGGGGTGATTCGGTCGGATTTATTTTGATGTCGGTGTGTAAGTTGGCCTGCGTCTGTTTTTGACGATTTTCAGGTTTTTTTGTGAATCTAGGGGCATATGGTGGAAATATATACAGAACGATATCCTTTTCGTGCTAAAACGCGATTCTTAATTTTCGGCGGAATGATTATAATCCTATTTCTATTTCATAGTATCGTAAAACGGTGTATAGTTCTACAAGCACTTTTTGAATTATATGTGACAGTATTTGTATAAATAGATTAACAAATTAATTTTATACTCGTATATCAATGATAAGGTGTTTTATTATATCTATGACAACTACATTCATTTCCAATGTGTCAGAAATCTACTTGGCGAATTCTGAAAATTTTTTATTGTAATAGGCTTTCGACATTAATACGATATTAATTTGATCGATTAAGGGCAGAGAGTAGTGCTAAGGATACAGTGAATGGTAAAACAACAATATTCCAGCATTTGTGTATTTAGAAAATTATATTTAGAATGTTAAGTGAGCACATCTTTGGGAACGTTGAATGTTATTTTTATTTATTTTCATTAGTTTCAAAACTAGGCTAAGTATCTAGACGAATAATATTTACTACAGAAATGAACATTGAAAGGAACACATTTTATTTTATCTACCTGGGTAAACGTATAAACGTAATTATAAATTTTAGTAATGTTTCCATAAATATTCAACGAAAAATTAAAAATATCATACTGAGCTGCTAGCAATCGTTTTAAGGAAAAGATACTTTCTCTTTCATTGTTTATTTTGACGCTAACGTATTTGAAATACATATAGTATATGAATAAGGAGCAGCATGTCTGAAAATAGAAGAGTTTTTTGAAAAAAAATGTATTTCCGCATTTCGATTTTATGGTAATCTGTATTTAAATAAATATATACTAGTAGATAATTTGTTCCTTCTAAAAATGCATATTATAGAAAATTAATCAAACTGAAAACTATTGCAACGAACAATTTAAAAACTGCAAGAAATAGATTATGCCGAAGGCCACTTTTAACGATTTACACTGAAACAATTAGTTTTTTTCAAATACTTTACATAACAAAGTATTTTTCTATTAGCAATTGTTTATTGCAAAATCTTAAAATGTCATTCACTTCGGACTAGTTATATTTAGAAGATAAATTAAATTTTTTATTTTCATATATGTTTTTTAATTAATTATACTAAAATTCTGTCATAAATGTATTAAAAATACGTATGTACAGGGTGGTAATAAGTAATAATACTGATATTTTCGAGGCGAGTAATTCATGAACATTTGAGGGTACCTTTTTATATAAACTTTTTCTAAAAATGAATTTGGACTATACATTCTTAATTCTGTTACGTCTGATATGCAATTATCTTCATAATATACCTATTGCTATAGAACTACAGAAAATGAATAAAAACTAAAACAAATTCAGATTACTCAAAAAAAAAAAATTTTAAAATTTAAAAAAGAAAAATGCTGTTCGAGGTATACATCGGAGACAAATTTGTAGTAAAATAGACAATAGACGATGATGATGATAACGATGATAAAGATAGAAATAAATTGTTCAAATTTTAAAAGCACTAAAAAGAGTTTAAATTTTTTTGAGTTACCAGGAAAAGTATTATTTGTCCATACTGTTGTTTCTGCTAATAAAAAAATAATTATGACAGTAAGTTCGAATTTAAAGTTGAAGAAAGTGAAAATAACATATATTTTTTCTTTGAAATACAATTTGAAATTGAGTCGTTAGAAACGGTGCCTCCAAAAATTAAACACCTTTCCAGATATTTGCTTAATTACGATATTTTTCAAACTTAACAATGCATTTCCTAAAAGTAGTATTTCGATCTTTTTTATGGTAACAAAGTAATTAAATTATGATATTGACCCAATAATGATTACTAAATTTATTACATAATATACTAATCATATAAAAAATACAGGTATTAAAGGATAAAAAAACATGCGACTATTCGAACACAATAATAATTTATATATGTATCAGTACAGTAAATAAGAATATAAAAATATCAGAAAAAATTTGACGCCGCTTCAACTCTTAAGCTGCATTTACACTGAACAGGAAACATTTTATTATCCACAGCTGTACAATTATTGGATAGGCAACATAATATTCTTAAAAAAATGTATATAAATAATTGTTTAATTCGGAAAACAAATAGTTTGAAAGTGTTGAAAATAAATTATTTAATTTTCGCATTATGTTTTAAATTCACTTTAATTTATTTATGAACCGATTTAATTCCGTTTTTTAACGGTAGATCGTAAAAAAATCTATTTTATCATATAACACGTGAATACAATTTCATTTATCAAAGGCAAATGTTTAGTATTTTTTTTGAAGTCAAATTGCCACTGGATTCTGCCGCTACTCAGTGCGATCTGTACCAAATTTTGTGAATAAATATTCATTATTCATTGTAAAATTAATATCAGATATCATTTCGGTTCATCAGAAATAAATTAAATAAACAACAAATAAAATGCTCACCAGTGTGTTTATCTTAAATGTGGAATAGAGCATTCCAAAAAACGACATACAAGGTGATTTCACTTTAAATACAGAAACTGTAAATAGCTGCTACTATTAAAAAACACCAAGAAATACTTTTCATTCATTTAATGTAACAATACCTGAATTTAACATTATTTCTACAAAAAAACACCAGTAGCGTATTTTTTTCTTAGGAAAATGGGGCATCACCTCCAGTAGCACGCCACTGGTTAAAGCTACAAGGTTAATATTATATCCAATAAAAGGTCTAATTAACATTATGCCTCTAAAAAATTGAGGCTAACATGATTAGTTTTCAAAATATTTGAAAAAAACGAAATTTTGGAAATCCGTTTTTGTTTCATTTCAGCCTTGTTTGAGGTGATATTGAAAAAAGAAGAACACTTTCTCTTGGCCACTTTTTGCTCTCTATCGAATGGCATAGTCAATTTTTATATGTAACGTTTTGTCTCTCCAGGTTCATCATCAACTTAATTTTTTTTAATACGATCATAGAAATTGTATTACGTTCTTTGCAAGCCTTCATGATCCCCAATCCTGTACTGCCTCAGCCCGAACCAGATTCAGACGTTTTGTCTCGAAAAATTCATCTTCAGTGTATTCGTTCCAAATTTATCTAATTTTTTTATTTAGATTTCTTTGTTTACTGAATTATCGTACATTGTAAGTGTCGTTAGACCCTGTGAAATCGATCTAGTTATTCAAACTATTACCACCACGTGTTACAGTAAAACATTTATTATTATTAACTATTACCATCACTTGGTCATACTCAATAAGTTGTTGCATCAAAATTAGAACATTATTACAATTTTAAATTTATTATGACATATTAATTATTAAAAATGCATATGAACAACCAAAACGCCAACTGAATATTATTCTTTAAAAAATTTCAGTAAATGTTCAAAAACATTTCCGTTTTGGCAAAGGTTGAAAATAAAGATCAGCGTAATATTATTGGAATTTATTATACCTGTAACCGCAACTGTGAAAGAGCATGACAGATGTATTTGTAGGAATATCCTGAAAAAAATAGATCGGAATTTGTTTGAATTCAATCAAATATTTCGAAAACTAATCATGTTAGCCTTGATTTTTTAAAGGCGTAATGTTGGTTCCCTGATTATGCAACTTGCCCCCATTTAAGCCTGTTTGTATCTCTTATCGTTTCCGAGATCCCCGTAGTGAGAAGCGAATTTGTAACAGCCTGTATATTTTTTTATAAATTTTGACACCCTGTATCTCGAGTTCCGCAGGAAAAAAGTTTATAGAGCAAACTCTACTTATTTTTTGGTAATGAATCCAGTCCTTCAGTTTCTGTATTTAAAGTGAAATCGTCACATTTAAAAAAAGTTTGGTTTACATTGTCGAAACCCTACAGTCAATTGTTTTTTTTAATATAGATACTTCTCTATCTCTATATCGCAACATAGTCTGCTTTTGTCGTTAACATTTCGTCCTAGGTTGATATCGGAAGGAGTTAGAGAAGAATCTCGTTAGAAAGGTAAAAAAAGGGCTTAGAACGTCACGCGATTTACCCTGTACATCTAGACCAATTAGCGCAACAATAATCAAAGACAATGCACCGCTGTTGCAGGTAGAGGAAGACGGTGACGTCAACATTCTCCACATTACCGGCGTGACATGGGCAGATGCCGGCCAGGTGAAGTGCACCGCGACTCAGCGCTCCGAAGAAGTGGCAGTCGCGAGCTGCAGCACCGAGCTGACGGTCGTTAGAGATTTCGACGCGCTTGACGACGGCAACAGTGACAGTGGTACCTCCATGGACGTGCTGGGTGAGGAGTCGCCGCCGGCTGAGGCGCTTGTGTCGGGCGTCGAGGAGCCCGCGATGCTCCTGAGGGGGCCCCAGGACACCACGGCCCTGGTAGGGGACCGAGTGCTGCTCAAGGCCACCTATATGGGTCATCCGGAACCGACCGTGAGGTGGACCAGAGCGGTAAGTGTGTAAAGGAATGCTTTGTCACTTTCTTCGGATATTGTTATTCAAATTTTGTTTACTTCTCGCGACGTTAAGGACATGTGTGCGAGGATGTCTTGGCGCTGAGTCAGGTTTAGGCGTGTTGCGTGTATTTAATGCCTTTAATAGTCACAGAATTGGCAGTGGCGAGATGGACGGGGTGTTGGGTATAAAAGTCCCCAAGCGGTTATCTCGAAATCCTAAAGGGATATTAACTAGTTCTAGTATAAATAGCTGTGACTACAAAATGAGAACCGGAGTTCACTTTAAAGTAATTATAGGTAGTAATTTTTGTTTTTTTTTAATGACTTTTAGATTCAAATATCTCAAAAATTAGAGATTTTTCTGAAAATATAGAACTGAGGAGTGGTAACTTTATAGGTACCACACAGTACTTCATACAGTACCGAGATATTTCTTTTGGGTTTCGAAATATTCGACCAATATACAATTTACAAAAATATTTAGTATTTTGTTTGTCGCAATAAACAATTCCACTCAAGGGCGTCGCCAAGAGGGGGCAGGAGAGGGCAGCTGCCCCCCTAGAAATTCGAAAAAAAGTACAAAATTTTCTTATGGAGGTATATCGGGGTCCGAGGGAAGTGAGGAGCGCAGGGAGGGTCCTATTCTATTGAAATTATTTGCGATAAACATTACCTATATAGCAAAGAAATCTACTCATATGCACATAGCATACATATTGACTAATTAACAACATAAAAATATCATATTTAAATAGTTTTAAATTATATTTAATGAACGCATAAAGACTATGCAGATGTGGCAACAGCGCTGATAATTGACTAGCAGTTGTACACACTGCGAACCTACAAACCTCGGACATCGGAGATATTGCGCGTCAAATTCGGGTAAAGATGCGTACCTGTTCAAAAATGTATTGTGTGTAAACTATGTAAAATATAAATATTATATATTGCAAATATATCGTATTATCCTCGCGAAGATTGTATCCTTTATTTAAAATCCGTAAATCATGTAAACTGGTAAAACAACGAGAATTATATTAATTTAGTTCTAAAGAAATAAAATGACACTCGCGCCCATCTATCGTCCAAGTCAAAGAAAATGTTGGATGCAATTTTGAAGGTTCTGTGATAGAAATTACATTATTACTCACTGTTCGTGTTTTTCATCTCTATTTTAGTAATGTTACAAAAGTTTTACAACTATAACTAATTTTTTAGATATAAAATTTGCTGAGAAATATTTATGTTCCTCTGTTATTCCGTACAAATGCTTTTATCTCAAGTATTACTAATTATATTAATCAAGTAAAGAAAACTATGTAACCCTAAATATTATTGGGTAATGATTACGATGTTTTTATAAACCATTAAATATATTAAAAGGATTTCTCAACTGTATTTTTTATTCCAATAAATATATCACAGCTTCCTAGTATTTTTTAATTAATCTAGTTTTTTAAAAACATTACAAAAAATCATCTGTTGTGGATAATTTATGGGATTTAAGAAAAATGTATATGTTTGAAATCAATTTCGTTTTTATCAAGTCTTTCAAATGTATTCCCTCCTTGCTGTCAGCTGATTGCGACGTTGCCACATTAATCCTCAAGTCAGACAGAAATGCAATTATTGGTTTCTGTTTCTAATTAATACAGCTGTACTATGTTCAAAACTTACATTAGTTTTACATCAA